GATATAATAAAGGATCAGACGAAGTTAAAACTACATCGGCATATGCCGGCCGCGTTAAACTGTGACTTACACATCACCATCATCATAAACTTCATCATCAAACATCAAACATCACCATCGTCATAAACATCATCATCAAACATCAAACATCACCATCGTCATAAACATCATCAGCCATGTGATCGTCTCCATAATTTTCACCATTTTGGGATTGTGGGGTTGCGTGAGTTGCATTGCATTATTGCGAAACAAAGCCTTCACTCTAAAAATATATGACAAAGACATCTCTGACAAACATTTTCACAAAAAGCAGATCTTAATTATGGGGCTATCTTTTTTTTATGTCGTATTAAAAATTGTTGGCGTTGTTGTTGGTATCATTTTTTAGTTTTGTTGTTATTTATGATGTCATTGTTGTTGTTGTCCTTGAAGTTTCAGTGATTGTTTTTTTGTTGTTTGGTAATGTTATAGCGCTTGTTGTATTGTTGTTGCTGTTTCTGCAATTGTCGTGATAATCTTTTTTCTGTAATTTTTGATTTCAAATAAGGTCTATTTTCATTAAACTTTCATCATAGATATGCCTTCAAAATTTACAAACAATTTGCGATCATATGAATTACCTTGTTAACTAAATTTTCATCTGACATCTCTGTTATATTTACGAGTTAACATTTATAATGCAAATGCCTCAAAATTAGCCGGCACTGCAAATCATATCTGTTGTTGCTTTAGTTTTGCATTTTTCTATGAACAATGATCAACAAATTTTTTAGACATTTTCACAGCAATCGACTGGGAATAAAAAATCAATTCGTTTTCTTTTTCTTGCTTGTTAATAAAAATCTTAAATCAAAAGGCTCTCGTACACAAAAAAGACTTAATAACGAATATCGATCTGTAATATATCAGTGTAGTCTATAGAGCAATGCCTTTGTGATTATTTCACTATTTTGTCGGTCGTAGTAGGCTGTGCCGTTGCAAATCAATGACATAAAAAATTCTGATGTTGGTCATTTTGTCGCAAGCGTCCGAATTAAAAAAACTTCATCTGAATATTTCTGTTGAGATTCGGATAAATTTTTTCATATTTTTTGCAATATAGTAATATTCATGAATGATATTTTATGTCCCGTGTGGTGTTTGTTTATAGGAGAAATAATTTATATTCTTCTTGAAGGTTTATAGGTTAGCTATTTCTATTTCAGGCTGAATTACACTCGAGATCGTGTTTTGTATTTTTTCAATCGGAGTCGAAAGACACCGCTCATATCAATTTGTAGAATATTAGCTGGTCGGATTTTTTTAACTTCATAAATTTTGTATGTAATAGAAAAATTATTTTCGTTGTATAAAAACAGTTTTATACGTAAAATTCCATGGGACATGAAAAAATTCGTTATATAGAGATTTTCGTTGTATAGAAGTTTGTTATAAGGAGGTCCGATTGTATATATTTTTAAAATATGTTATACTAACAGTTGCTAAAATCTGTTAATATAAAAGTTATAAACGTCAAATTGGATATAATTAAATTTTGATTTTTTTTTCAAATAAACAAACATTTTCAATTCTGAAAAGTACTCATTTTTAGCATAATTTTGAAAAATGAGAGAGAGGAAAAATTACAAAATCATCTCTCAGTCTGAACGTCAATCGATCATATTAAGGACCTGAAATGAAAAAATCATCAAAATGTTATTAATTTAAAAGAAATAATGTTTATTATGCAGTTGAACATAAAAAGTTTGAAAAAAAACTTGCTCGTAAATGTTTTCCTACAGTAGAAGATGCATTTTAAGCAGTCGGTTGGATCAGTTATCCACATGGCAGCAGATGTAGTCGGAAAAGGTGGGCTTTCAGCTGCCTCAGCTTGTGCGATACCGTAATGAGCATCGGGCCAGAAAGAAGCATCATAATTGGTTTTGTACCAATCAGCATAATAGGTCGTAGTGCATTTCCAGGAGTTGTTGGTCAGAATGTAGTGGTCTGGGGTGCTGGCTATGAAACCACCTGTGATAGTCATTCGATTGTTTGAATAAACAACTTTATTTGCAAACGAGCACATTTTCTTGGCAAAAACCGAGTTGGGTGGGAAAATTACCGATAATTGCTAGAATTTTTTAACAAACTGCGTTGTAATAATAACCATCGTTTTCGTTGTTCCAGCCCTTGATTGCAAGGACATAGAGCACTCCGCATGTCAGGATGTATGTATCAGGTACATCCCACTGGAGTGCATGTGGAAAAGTCGCCGGAACCACGGATACGTTGTTTCCGTTCACATAAAATTCTCTTATTTCATTATCCACAGACATCGTCAGGGCTATTTGAAAATATTTATAAATGTTAACATATTATTAAATGTTATATTTAAAATTGTTTGCTTTAATTGAAATGATATGAAAAATTTGATAATCTTTTTTACGAACAAACAATAACCACCATCCCTGTAATATCCCTGGAAAAATGATGACGATTCATCTCACTGTTGGGATCAACCGCAATAAACTGACCCTGCATCGGCCTAACTCACGACAACTTCTAAAATTGTAACGACTTTTTTAGCTAACAACTTCTTTAAGTTATTTTCTTTCATTTTTACCAAATATTTTTTGTAGAAATGTAATTTTTTGATCAGCTGAGAGAATTGGCGCAGTGTTTTGATGAATTGTTCAGTGATAAATGTTAATAATTAAATATAAAAACAAAAAAATCGAAAATATCTTTTTGTTTTAGCATTGGCTTAAGGCCTATGTGATCATTTTCATTACCAATAAATTCCAGAATTCTTACATCGAATGAAAACAAGTCTTACTAACGCAACGTTTTCCAGCTAGCACTGTCCTGCATTTGAAACCTCATGGATTAAAGTTAAAATCAATGTGCAACAATCCATTGTAGTTAAAATTTTTATTTCAAAATCAAATTGAACTAGCCTTGTAAGCTTGACAATCGAGAATGTTAGAAATAATTTTTGGTTCAAATTCGCAATTGAAATCGAACAGCTGGCAATATTTAACGGATTCACCGGCATTATTGAACCTGTAGTTGAATGCGTTGCAAGTGATTTTATTATCAATCGGAGAAACATAATGAGAGCATCTGGCAGAGCATTCCAGCAATGATCGAATGTTTGTTAGCACTGTGGTAGGCTCCGAACCAAAACACATGGAGTTGTTTTCGTCTGCAATCATTTGATACTTATTCCAAGCAGCCGAAGCTAACGGTTCAGCTGATTTTGGTGAAAATGAAATTATCGAAACGAAAACGTAAGCCGTCAACATTATTTTAATTATTTCTGTTTAACTATTAATATTATTTGCAAACAACAGATAAATAACTTAATGCGAAGTTTGTTACGTTAGGAGCAGATGAACGGATTTAAGAGAGCAGGTTTTAGCCCATTAGCTCGTGCTCTTCACAAGAGAAAAACTTCAAATTGATTATATTTCCTTTTTTACAGACACAATTGCAAAGAATCACAAAAAAGCACAAAATCAATCATCATAGTATGATAGTTTTAATTATATATCTATATATAAATTTTTTTTACATACAATAGGTTATATTAGATATGTAATATGTTGTACTCTATATGCATGCACTTAAAATCATCCACTTATATATGCAAATGTTTGAACACGCATAAGGATGAATATAAATACACACACACACAAAGGTAAATATAGGGAAGTGGGGATATAAAAACAAACTTGAAACAACTTGTGTATTACTTCGGAGTGTAAAAACGGATTTTTTTGCCGTTATCTTGCATATTCCATGTCTTCGTTGACCTTATTTAGATTTAGTTTTTTCAGAAATCTCCTATAATTCATTTATTCATTTATATATGTTTCTTGCAATTTTTTTGTAGACGAATTTAAGAAGAGAATTTTTTTTAATAAAAAAAACCAGTCCGAAAAAGTACATTACATATCCTAATAAAACAACCAACCAATAAACTCATTCAAAATCAACTGCACAGTAAAAGACAAAATTTATCCATGTTTTATGTGTCAATATAATGTCGTTGATGTTTTTCAATTTCAATTTTTTTTAAATTTTCAAAAGTTAAAACACGATTTAATCATTTTTTGTCAAAAGTTCAAACCTTTGAACCAATCCAGACAAACAGAACAAAATAAATAAATTTCAACCTTATACAACTTAATACTCTATCTCTATGCACATTGCACAACACTCCACTCAGCGATATTTGAAAGAAAAACTAGCTGGAGTGCTGCAGAGCGGCAAGTAATAAAGATGTTTACCCCATGTTGGACAAGTGATTGAATTGAATAAAGTTTGAAATGATGCATCAACGTGCTCACATCAGTTCCAGCAACAAATGCAAATCGGATCTTACCCTGTTTACCCCATCGATGTTTCATACTTGGATGCCTGTTTTCACTGACTCTCATTCTCTGCGGACATGCTTCAGCTTTTCAATAAATAACTTTATATGCAGTGATTATTTTGTTTCTGTTATTCGAATAAATTCATTTGCGATGATTTTTATTCACCTTTCATATGTAAAACAAATGAATTTTTTATATTTTTGATTTGAAAATTTTTTGATTGATTTGATTTTGTACTATTTAAAGTATGCTCACCGAAGCTGAGTGCGAATAAACGCCTCAAAAACTGCACGATTAGGTATTCGTAATGTTATTATTTGCGCCTCCGTACTTGAAGAAATTTGCATTTTGAATGATTCCACATCCAACTGAGTTCATTTGATCGTTTGGTTACGAGTGCATGTGAGAACGACAGATGCTATGTTGCCATGTTGTTTTCATACTGGTCACTATTTTATTAATATTTTCCATTGTGATATATTTATCAAACGACTAAAACTTGAATATGAAACACTTGTTATTTTTTCAAACAGTCCTTTCGTTAGTTTTATTCACTAGGAAAAACGAAAATTTATTACAAGCTTCGAAAATAATGAAATTATTACATAAAAAACATTCAATGGACTCACATTTTCTGAAAATGTTCGAGCAAAAGTCATAAATTGCCTATTATGGGGCATAGAATTTTAGTCGGGATAGGATAGCTGCGCTGTTTGTTGTTGTTGTTGTAGTTGACATACATTTACTTCCTATATGGTGCAATTTGTAGATAACTTGATTTTCTTTCAAGATTTGTTAGAATTTGTCTACAGAGTTTCCTGGCTTTATTTTATTTTTTTATTCTAGAATTATTTATTATCCGCAACTTTACAATTCTCATTTTTTTATGTTAATTTATGCAAATTTGTTTTAAAACGTAAAATCTTTTGTTTTTTTTTAAGAATATGCTAAAATTACACTTGGAAAAAAAAATCAGCAAACCAAAAATAAAATGGTAATTGGTGACTATTTAATCTGAGAAAAAAAGCTTTTTCTAACTAAGCCCCATTCATCTGTCCTCTTATAAATTAGAAATGGAAATTGGCTCTCTGATAACTTTTTTAACAGCAATGAGGATTGGCCTCTTAAAAATCGGCTTTGTTTACAGAAATTGAAGGGTAACTATTCTTTATATCCCTACCGCTTGTGCCTTCTCTTTCGATTTTGAAATATTAGAGAATTGATTCTTCTAGTATTTTCTCTATGATATGTGTACAAATTGATTAATAATAATTATTTTTATGAAAATATTGTATCACTGCTTGAATTTATAAAATTTAGGACCGCTGCATAAAATTTTACAAATTGTCTCACTGTCAAAGCTGTTCAATGTTGATTTTTTTAAATATTATCATATTGAGCGTGTAGATTGTTTAAAGATTACAATTGTATTATGAAATTGAAGATAACGCCATGACACAGAAAATATGACATCTGTCTTTAAATTTTATAACTTGCCAATTTTAGATAAATTTTTATTCCATTGAAGTTTGTTTATTAACTTAGCATAAAGCGGGTGAATATACAACAAATCGGTTATAGAAAATTTTTAAAATTTGAATAAATGAAAATAACTTCAACAGTGAAACAAACAATATTATTATGTAGAGCATACAAACCCAAACATGGAATAACATGGGGAGAGATGATGCCTAGCGCACATCTGCCTGAGCTGATGTACAATTTAAAAATTTGCGCTCTTCCCACGGGTCATTAAGAAAGAGCAGAAATAATTCGGACGATACCCACGACAAGGTAATAAAGATTAATTTAAGAAAAAAAACGCCAAGTTTTTGGGCTTGAACTTTTAAAATTTATCTTTAAATATAAATAAATATGTCAAAGATATCATACTGGTTTGACAGAAATTTGTAAAAATTTTCCTTTTTTCATTAATCTTCAAATGAATAACTTTAGCAGCAGCAGTTGTTGTAGTAGCATCAGCAGTTTCGGTAGAAGTAACTGCAGTTGCCATTTTCGCAGTAGCAATAGAAGCAGTATTAGCTTTAGCAGAATTAACACTTTATGGTGTTTATACAAACGTTTTTAATAGCCTGCACTTTGAAGTGACGCATCGTATATTAGGCAACGATTATCGAAATGTTTTTTTTGACCTCCACAAAAACAAAATACATTACAACAACAAAAAATAACAACAATACAGCAGTAACAACAACATCACAATATAACAGCTAAAACAACAACAAGCACAAAACTATAAACAACTGTACAAATTATTTGTGACTGCCTAAATAACTACAACAATAGCAACAACAACGCTACAACAACAACACTACAACACAACAAAACACAACAACCTCAGTACTGGGACAACGAAACACAAAACGGCACACAATGTACTGTTTGATTTAGTAAACCAGGTATTGTGCCACCGCAATTCGATTGTTCAATTGTTGATGGTTCTGTCATTGTTGTTGTTGTTGTTGTTGCTGCTGAGGATGATGATGATGTTGTTGTTGTTGTTGAGAATGATGATGATGTTGTTGTTTTTGTTGAAGATGATGATGATGATGTTGTTGTTGTTGTTGAGAATGATGATGATGTTGTTGTTTTTGTTGAGGATGATGATGATGATGTTGTTGTTGTTGTTGAGAATGATGATGATGTTGTTGTTTTTGTTGAGGATGATGATGATGATATTGTTGTTGTTGTTGAGGATGATGTTGTTGTTTTTGCTCATTTGTTGATGTAGTTGTTGTTTCAAATGTTTCAAATATTAGTAAGACTTGCAATGTTGTTAGTTGATGTAGTTGAGGTTTCAAACGCTAGTATAACATACAACATTGTTTGCTGAAGAAAAAACTGTTGTTGTTATTTATGATGTCATTTGATGTTGTCGATTTCAGAGTTTCGTTTTCATTTTATTTTGATGACGATGTTGTTGTTAATTCCATTGA